TTTTATCATAAAATACTAACGGCACACTTGACTCACAGCTTATCTTTGATAGTGCATCTCTAATCTTTACAACTTCTCTGCTCTCAGCCAAACACTACTGCGCGGTACCAGCACAATACTATTTCTAGATATCTCTAACTCTGTCGGCGTCTTCTCCGACAAGCTAAACCGATAAGATTTCAACATAGTTATCAAACCAACACGCACTTGCATGCGACCAAAGCGTAAGCCAATACAATTGCGAGGTCCATCGCCGAAACCGAGAAACGCTTGCGGGTGACGTTTTTGCGCTTCCTCAGGATTGAACCGTTCCGGCCGAAATTCACTGGGATTATCATAGATATCCGGATCATAGTGTATCTCCTTAACTGGTATATAAATATTTGTGCCCTTTTCTAGTGTAATATCTGTGCCGGGTACTTTAAAATCTTCATTTGCGCAACGATTGAGTGCAGCGAGCGCTGGATGTTTGCGGAGAGTTTCTTTGAAAGAGAAAGCAATGTATTGTTTCTTTGCAGTCAGATAAATTATTTAACGCAAACTCACCTGTTATTACTTGATCCAAGTAGGTCATCTCCATCATCGCTTCGTACGTTAGCTCGCCATTATGTTTCTCCAATACACTTAAGATTTCTGCTCTTACTTTCTCTTGCACGTGTGGATTCTTTGCCATTTCGAAGAGTCCATAACTCATATTACTCGAGCTGGTTTCAAAACCAGCAGCGAAAAATATATAAACCTGCGCCGCCATCTCTTTAATACTCATACCCGGTGCACCCTGAGCATCTTTCGTATTTCTCATTTCAATCAACATATTTAAGAAATCATTGCGCTGTAAATTCTGCTCTTCACGCAAGCGAACTGTGTCGCGCACTAAACTCAAAACGAAATCCTCAATTTCAGCAGAATGTTCTCTGATATTGAAGAAGCTAAGAAATTTCATAATCACAGGATATGTGAGCATGAAAGTGCGAAGCCGTATAGAGAGGTAGCGTGGATAGAAAATACTATGTCCAATACGACGGAAGGCCACATTAGGATCCTTCAAGCTATTGCACTCCACACCAAAGGCACAATGACCGATCACATCCGTAGTGAAGCGACCCATAAAATCGTGCAGTTCAATGTCGCCGTTGGGTGATTTTGCCAATTGTGTGCTGAAAGCTGTCTCCAATTGCCCTGCCACTGTAATCAGTGTGGGAAACATAAATTTCATTTTCGCCGATGTGAATGTGGGTGTGAGTTTCGTACGTAAGGGTCGCCATTTTTCACCATGTAAGCGAAAGAGATGATGCTTGATCACACTGCTACCACTGGCACGATGTTGAAAGCGATCGGTGAATTTATTAAAATCTTTTATTAGTATCGCCTTTATTACATCCAAATCAAGCACAATGGCTATGGGTTTGGTGAAGATATAAGTGCCGACCAATTTCGCTTTACCGTGGAATTCCCGATATGCATCGCGTAACAGTTCGGATTTATGTATTGTGCGTAGACGCGATAAATTTCCCAATAGAAAATTCATTTTTAATTGCGGCACGCCACGCAGTTCCCAATATTGATACTTGTAGCGCAGATAACTCAGCAAAAGTGTGAAGATTGTGGAGAAAATCAGAAAATAGAAATCCATAATGGGAAATGTAAGAAAAATTCGCGACGAGGTTAAATGATTTATACTTTTTCAATATAATTAAATTTTTTCTACTTTATTAAAATTTTGAATTTTATTATTATTAAATTATTAGAACAAGTTTTCCACTGCACTCAATTAAATACACGAAATATATTTGTTACAGTAT